AATTACTTTATTGTAGCTGTGTTGTACTTCTTTAACTTCTGCTTTAAATTCTATTATTCTTTAAAATATATAATAAATTAGTATACAAATAAAGATATATTAGATTTATTTTAGTCTTAAAAAATTATCCCCATATCATGTATGTTTGCTGAAGCCTTGTAACAACATCTTCTGTTTGAAAAATAATAATAATTGGTATTGACTTATTAGTAATGGTGTTACCTTTTACTGTATAGCCAGTCATCCCCCAAATGTAGTAACTTAAAGCAGAGTCCCATTATTTGCTCACAGTTCTGTGGGTCAGCAATTGGGGTTTGTTTTTGCTCCATGCAGGGGCAGTTCCCTGTCTGTGTATAGGTCTCACCTGGAGAGGCTGAGTTGGCTGGCAAGGCCGGGTCCTCTCTCCACACACTCTTTTGTCCTCTATGAGACTAGCCTGGACTTTTTCTGAAGAGGAGCAGGCAGGTAATAGGGAAGAACAAATCTGACTCCATATTGGATCTGTTTCTTGTCCTTTAACCTTTGTATTCTATTGCTTTTTTTTACAAGTTAATCATTAAAAGGATGTTGCCCATTTCCAGAAACCCTGCCTCCCCTGCCTGAGTGTTAAGTTAAAAATACCTTTGTTCAGCTCCCAGGAAACATCCTGACAAGGTCCACCTATGAATGGCTGCAGGAAAGAAGAAATTAACACCTCCCCTCTGGAGGCTGGCTGGAACCAGGAAATGTTTGCAACAACCTACTGCCTCTTTTTACTTTACCTCCTCACCTTCCCCTCTTTGTTCCATAAAAGAAACTAGCATCCAAACCTGGGCAAGATGGGTTTTTGGGACATGAGTCCACCATCTTTTCAGTCGGCTGGCTTCCGGAATAAAACCTCTATACCTTGCCCCAACAACTTGTCTCTCGATTGACTGGCCTGTCGTGCGTCGAACAGTATGAGCATAGACTCGGTAACAGGCAGAATCCCCAACAGCAAGAGAGGGCAAGGCCTTGCACACAGGAGTCCCATGGTCAAGGCCAGATTTAAGGACTGTCTCCTGATGGGAGGTACAGCAAAGTCACGTTGCAAAGAGACATACAGTTACGCCAGAAAGAAGTGAGAGTCCACGAGATGGTCTGGGATGTCCTTGGGGTCGTGTTGCATGTGCTCTCGCTCCAGACCCACTTTGCCATCAGCCATTTAGGGTGTATAAACTAGTTTACTCTAGTCCGGGCACATCGTTAGTCACAAATTATGTACAAAAGAGGTGAATAAGCATAGGTGTTGCTTAAAGCCATTTAACTCATGTTCCCATGCAGAGTTCCCACTTAAACTGTGTCCAGTTTTCATTCTAGTCCACGTCTTTCCATGACCAGGCCAAGACCAGAGCCATTTATTTAGTTAGTTAGTTGAGATACATGCCCTGACTGCTGCTAAGAGGATTTAAAGCAGCTGCTCAGTTTCTTTTTTCTCAGTTCCCCTGGGTATTAGGGAAGCACACTCCTTTTCATCTGAGCCTGAAGCCTGGCCTCCAGCCCAAGTAAAAAAATGCTCTCTTGATAGCCAAATTCACCCCTACCCAGCTTAACACTGAATCGTACAAAATGTTCTTAACTCCAGTTCCATTTTTCTGGGAATACAGAGCCAGGTTTACCTCTCCTAAATGATTCTTCTCTATGTTCACCAGCCCATCTCAGTGACACAAGGCTAATATTCTGGTTCTCTTAGAAACCGTTGTCTTCTGCATTCAGTATTGTCATGTGCCTACCACCCAATTATCAGGATATATTGCCAAATCTATATTCATTTTCCAATAGAATTTGCAGTCTACAGCTCTCCTTTTTAAGATTTTGACTCTTCCTAATAAATGCCAAAATGTTTATCAAACAATTTTCCAAACACAGAACCTCCTCTACATTTTTGCTGTTCTGTAACAAAAATATATGCTAAATTTAAGAAACATACATATTATAAAAAGCATATACAGTAAAGTGAAGCCTAAGTTGACCTATTTTTCTTCTTCCTCGAGCCTTAGTCCTGACACAGTCATTCCTCTTTAAAAGTCTCTGTGCTTGCTATTTTTGATAGGAAAAAAAAAGTTGATTTACAAAATATAGCAGAACTTGGCTGCAGTTGAGACACACTGTTAATATGGAAAGGGAGTTAATAGGGTAACTCCCAAAGAAAGGAACAAGGAAAATCCTCTTTTGAGAAAACAGAGTGGAAAGGTTTTATCACAATCTGTTTTTTTCTCTCGACCTCTTCCTACTGTGGACAAACATCTAGGAGTATCCCACTCTTAGACTTTCTGTATTTGTCTAATACAGCTATTCATTTTCAAAGTAGATTATAATTTAGGGGCTGTGAGGACTTTCCAGGACTTCTGTAACCAGTGATCACGTCGCTGTAAGTTTCTGGTCAAGCGCAGTCCTGGAACCCCACCCCACCCCATGTCCTCCGCCTGCCTCTTGTTTATGAAAAGCGTTAGCCTCCTAGGCCTTCCCTGAGTTCCAAAGAAGACATTTAATCAGAGAAGTGAGAAAATGCAGAAACGAGGAAAACAGCCAAGCAAGACAAGATAATAAGAGTTTAGCCACTAAACAGAGTCAAGGACATTTCGTTCCTCCTCAAGGGCTGTAGATACTATTCTGAGCCATGGCCTTGAGCCACTGTGTGTTACCTGCATGCTGCCCACCCGCACGGAGACCCCAGACGGGTTGGAACCAGAAGGCTGATGATGTTGACTCCCAATTACCTCACCACCAACCAATCAGAAGAGTGTCCGTGAGATGACCACACACCCCAAAGCCCTCTCCTTCACTCTGTCCTTAAAAACCTTTCCCTGAAAGCCATTGGGGAGTTTGGGCCCTTTGAGCATGAGCTTCCCGGGCTCCTTGCTTGGCCCAACACTGGGCGCCTTGCGAAAAGTGCTGCGCTTTCCTTCACCACGACCCGGCGTCAGTAGTTTGTCTTTACTGCCTGTGGGTGAGTGGGCCCAAGTTGGGTTCTGTAACAGTCCCTTTTACTTAAGCTCGTGGAAGAAAAACTTGAAAACCAAAGAGGTAAACCTAAGATTCTTTTTTAGCTGACTTTGAGGGAGAATGTGAAGGCTAGCGCTTGGGTGAATTTCCTTTTGGGTGAAGGCCAGAGGGGTGGGTTAGCCCTGGTTTGCGTCACTGGGCTCCGCTAGTGAAGGGTTCTCCCTTCTTTTGGAAGAGCTTTGTTCGGAAGGGCTCTAAAGAAGAAAAAGGAGGAACGGGTTCTGATGGCTGTTGTCATCTCTGTCTGCCAGGCTTCTGCCGGAGACCCCAGGGCTGCTGTGGCCAGCACTGCGGCTTTCTGAGCTCCTGTTCTGATAGTGCAAGGAAGCTGCTCTTGGTAGGAATCTGAATGAGCTCTAAATCTCTGTAGGGCGTATGTTTGTCTCTAGGTGCAGGGAACTCACCGGGACTGATGCAAGTAATGGTGACAGGAAGGGAAGGGTGATGAGGAATACACGTTAGCGGAAGGAGCGAGGCTGCAGGAAGAGGTTGCTAAAGACTTACACCCATGTTTCTCTCTACAGCCTCCCTCTCTTTTCCTCTGCAGGGTCTGTCTCTTCATCCCTTATTTCTTTTTTCTATCTACCTCTTACTTTTGTTATTAACTATTCATAAGTTCTTTTCCTTATTGTACTCCCTTTGGTATAATCAATCCTATTCTTTTTTTTTTTTTTTGGCCATGCTGCGTGGCTTGCAGGGTCTTAATCCCCAGACCAGGGCCACAGCAGTGGAAGCACCGAGTCCTAACCACTGGACCACCAGGGAATTCCTATACCATTCTTTTAAAAGACCTACCTGTACTCAGCTTTTGTTCCTCTGATAAGTATTGGGAAAGAAACAGCAGTGATTAAGAGATGAGTGGTATTTCCAAATTAATATATTATTTTATAGAATACATTTATTATGTTTTCATTTAGCATAGGTAACTAAGAAATTTGACTATGACGTTTCACTTTTTAATTTCCTTTTCTAAAATTTGTACACAAAGAACCTTGTGTCAGTGAGCTGGGGATGGCTGGCTGTAGTGGGGGCAGTTAGTTACTGTCTGGCTGTCCTATTTGGCACCCCAGTCTCTTTTTTGAGAATCCTTTATCGTGTGTCATTTTTGGAGGAAGTGGCTTCTTTCCCTTCTAGGAACAAAAGGCTGCAGGGGTGGGGAAATAGCACGGAGAGGGGTATTGAGCCTATGATGGAGGATTGGATATTCAGACCTCTTTGAGACTTTGAATCAGTGAAGCATGGGTATGAGAACAGTTACAAGTTGACAAAATGTTACTGCTGCAAGACCTTCGCAGCAGTAACAACGTGCTTCCCGACCATGGAGAGCAACTTGCTTCCTGACCCTGGAGATCAACTTGGTTCCTATTCTTTGTCCAAGTTGGGGGACCCAGCTTTCCAGGAATTCTCTACGCTCTTCCAATAAATTCCATTTTGCCAGAGTTGGTTTTTGTTGTTTGCAAGAGAAAAAAAAATCCAGATTCTATTGCCAAAAATGCTCCAGGGTACCAACTCCACCATGCTCTCTGAAGTGGCTGAGTGGATCATGAGTCACTCTGGATACTTCAGGGACATGTTTAATATTTCTAAATGACTTTCTATATTTAAAGTGAAAATTTAGAAAATTCAGAAAAAAATTTAGAAAGAATAAAAAAAGTTCTCACCAGCTAAATGAAACTACTGAAAATTATTTGCAAAGTTATCTCAAAATCAGGGACTTCCTTGGTGGTCCAGTGGCTAAGACTCTGCGCTCCCAATGCAGGGGGCCAGGGTTTGATCCCTGGTCAGGAAACTAGATCCCACATGCCGCAACTAAGAGTTTGAATGCCACAACTAAAAGATTCCGCGTGCTGCCACTAAGACCCAGCACAGCTAAATAAATAAATAAATTTAAAAAAATAATAAAAGTTATCTAAAAATCAGAAAAGCACTAAGCACATACTTCTATTTATCTATCCATCTATTTAAATATGAATCAGGTAGAAATTCTTTCACTTTTCTTCTTTGCTATTTGGCCTTTCTCTATCTGTAGTCAGTTGTGTACACAACAGATCTTCATCAATGTTGGAGTCTTGTCATTCAACCACAGAAATTTCTATGACATTTCTGCTAAAGACTGGTATTTTGTCTGGTTTGTTCAGTTTGCAGGAAAATAAAGTTCTGAATACGTTCAGGCCATATTGTCTTTTACATCTCATTCACAATGGATAATAAACACCTAAATGGCCCAGAGTGATATGAGGACTTTGAAGCTAAACAGTCCTGGGTTCACACACATGCCTTGCATTTACTAGCTGTGTGATCTGAGGCATGTTATGTGATCTTTGTGCTTCTTAGTTTTGCTCCTGAAAGCTCAGCCTCTCTGCACACGGGTGCAGGATCAAATCTCGGAGACAGGGTTTGGGGTGAAGCAGAAAAGGACAGCTGTATTACTTTGCCAGGATTTGATGAGGGTCTTTGTAACCATGACTCAGGGTGGGAAGTGTGCAGGGCATGCGCTCCCTTGACCTCATCTCAGGTGGACGAGCTTCTCTGGCCCCTTCAGTCTTGCCTCAGGTGGTTCCCTGGCTGCTCCCCCCTGATTAGCAACTGTTCCATAATCTGCCCTTTGGAACTCAGGGGAGGTCAGGGAGGCTGGAGTCTTGCCTACAAGAAACGGGGGGCATAGGGTGTCGGTGCCTGGGAACCTCACAGGGCCCCGCTCAGCTTCAGTTTCCCTATTTGCACAAAGGGGATGAGAATATCTGCCTTCGAGGTGAATGTGAAGATTAAAGGTAGCATATGAAAAATGCCTGGTGTAACAACTAGCCATCCACTGTGCGTGGAACCTCTACTGTCCATGTGTCTTCTACCCTAAGTAGGCAGTAAACTGTAGGCAGTATTAAATTTAAAAGGAAGGATAGCAGCCAATTCCACAGTTTTCTCCCCTTACCTATTGCCTTAAATCAGTAATTCTTTACTTTTTTTTGAGCACCCCTTTGAGACCAAAGAAAGAGATGGATCCTCTTCCTAGGAAAATAAACATCACAACACAAGTCCAGATTTTTGTGTAAAATCTAATGGGACTCTCAGACCCCTTAAAGCCATTCCATGGACTTGATATTAAGAATCCTGGCTTTAAATCAAGTAGCTTCCTTGTAAGTTGCTTGTTGTGAGACAGTGTTGTAAGTACCTGTGTTCCCCTGCAGCTGGGATGGGGCTACAGAAACAGTGCTGGCCGAGGACTCTGGGGGGAGGACACATGACTCTTTCAGTCCGGAACCGTTATGGGCAGGTGTGAGTTCTCCGTCTTCTCTTTCCCATCAGTAGAGCTGGAAGTAAAGGACTTTAAGACGGCGGAGTTGTGAAATGTAAGCACCCCACGTCCCAGAATTGGAGCAGAGCCGCCAAAGAGACCCTCCTGCCTCGCACTGCATTAGGGTGATGGAGGAGTACATCTGTGTTGTGCTAATTCCCTGAGAGGTCACAGCGCCTGCGAAGGCAGCTAGTATGGCTTAACTCAACTGAGACATCCCCTCTGCTGGCACATGAAGCCTCAGAGAACTTGGATCAATCTGGACCATAACCATGTTAAATCAAATCTGTATATTAATAATAACAGGCTTATAAAACGCTTGTTCAACAGTCTTTCACACATCTAGGAGGGCAGGGATTATCATATCTCTTCTATAGATAGAGCGAACTAACACTCAAAAACTTAAGTGCCTTGTCCAAACACACTAGTGGAGACCAATGCTCTTTTACTATGCTATCTATTTTTACAGAAATATGTCTTAGAATGCTCCTGGAACTTTAAAAAATCTAATCTAGCCATTCATTCATTCTAGGTTTGTTCTACTAAAGACGTGAGGTGGTTATCTTTCAACTACATCCTATTTATTAAAGGGTTTGGCTAAAGTGGATGTTATATAGAGAAAGTCTGATAATTTTCTGGGATTATCCTTAGTTAAACTACTGGACGGTTTCAATGAAGATACCACACATATTTGATAAAAATTGTTAATCAAAGCAATACATTTTTATTGGGAAATTTGCTGACAATAATATGAATTTTATATTTTACATTTTTTCGTCAAAAACAAAGTATTTGTGGGACTTCCCTGGTGGCCCAGTGGCTAAGACTCTGTGCTTCCAATGCAGGGGCCCCAGGTTCAATCCCTGGTCAGGGAACTAGATCCCACATGCAGGCTGCAACCAACAGTTCTTAGGCGACAACTAAAAAGATCCCGTGTGCCACAGCTAAGACGCGGTGTGGCCAAAACAAATATTAAACAAAACAAAACACTTGCTTCAAAACAAGTGAAAGGTGCATTTTTAAAAGGAATCACAAAAGTCACGTCTTTAATCCTTTATTAGTATGAAATATATAACACAGAACAGTACATAAACATAGGTACAGATTAATGGACAAATACAAAGCAAATATGTAAGCAGCCACCATCTAGGTCGAGAAGTAAGTTAGCAGCACTCTAGAGGCAACCATGCTCAGTGCAGAATGCGCTTCCTATTAATTTAACGTTAATCCGTTGAATTCACTGGAACACACATTCCCACGATTGCTTTAGACGCAGGAATTGAAACGAATACAGTTTGTCTTTAGCAGATTTGAAGTAGCAAGGTGTTTGCTTCAGATAACCAACTTCCACTTGTCAGACGTGTTATTCTTTCAAAGGAAGTGAACATCGCAGTGAAGGTACTGACGCCCTCAGAGAGGGAAATCAAAGTGAGCTTGTATTGTTATTAATTTTTTTTACTACGGGGACATCATTCAGATTTGAATTCCTTCATCAAATGGAGACGCCGCCATCAGCCTCAATTAAACAACTTAGAGCACATGATGCTATATTCTCAAAAGATCATTTCTTTCCATATTCGAGAGCTGAGTTAGACGTAGCTATGAGCAACAAGGAACCCAAAATTACAGTGGCTTACCAAAATAGCAGAGTACGTTCTCTCACGTGTGGAAATCCGGCGGTAGGCTCTCCTGGGCTGACATGCCTGTCCACGGTGCCAGAAAACCAGGCTGCTGCTTTTTGCTCTGTCGTCCTTAGCACGTGGCTTCCACTTCGTAGTTCAAGAGGGCTATTCAAGCTCCGGCCACCACGCTCATGTTGTGCCAGAGGAAGGAGAGAGGGAGAAGAGCCCCCTCTGTTTAAGGATTTCGGTAAGTTCCTTGCACGGCTTCTGCTTATTTCCTATTGGACAGACGTTGGTCACATGACCACATCAAGCTACAGGGAAGTGAGGAAATACAGTCTCCTGGACAGAGATGGGTCCCACTACAAACCAAGGGTTCTACTAAGAAAGAAAAGGAGAAAAGATACTGGCAGAAAGCCTCTTTGCCACAGAGGGCTATTCTATTTGTAGGGTTCCATAGGTAAATCTATTCACTATAGAAACAGGTCAATATTCCTTCGAACAGGAAAGTAGCTTTCATGTAGAAAACATCCAAAATCTGTCTTAGAATTTTGCAAACAAAATTTAATCTTTTTAGATGTTGATTTAAGGCGGCCTGTCTTTTTTGATATAGCTGATGAATGTTCCTTTTTCTAGAAGTATACTTTTGTGATGCAAGAAAGGATGAAAGCCAGATGGGAAAACACCACTCTAAAAGGAGAGAATTTGGTGCCATACCACCTGGCAAGCAGTCAACACTGATACAAGTTTGGAGCCGTGCTGATGGAGTCATATGTCCCTCCTGGGCTGGGCTGCAAGGACAGAGACCCGCTCGTGTGTGCCAAGGGTGCTCCCTGCTGCCGTGTGTTTACTGCGGTGGCCTAAACGCACATAACACAGGTCCACGGTGAGCTTAAAAGGATATTCCTACAGAAGTCATACAGCCTTGAAATGAAGCTTGATTCATTAGGAAATACTGGACATTGACATGAGTGATATCATCATAACATTTCCTTAAACACTGCGTGAAAAGCTGGGTACCATGTTAACTCTATCCTAAATTGGATTACACTGTATGCCTGTGACTCCCTTAATCTAGCAATATCCCAGGAATTCAAATTCTGAACAAAATACCTGTATATGCACATTTGGAGGGTTTTGCAGAAGTGATGTCCTGTCAGGAGAGTGTTGACGGGGTGGTGCTTGCTAGCTGCAGGATCTGGAGAAACCCTACTTTAACAAGAAATCATTGCAAAATCTATCAGAGGCCCCTAGAGTTCACCAGAGTCTTATAAGCAAATCTTGCTTTACTAAAGACCCCGAAATGGTGTCATCTCTCTAAAATTTAAGAGACTAAAAGGGCCCCAAGAAACCACTTTCAGACTTTCCCTCTGCTTTGTTTCAAAGGCAGATAATAACTGAAGGGCAAAACAGAAGCCTTAGGGGCAGTTATAAGCTCTCTTTTTTTGGAGAAATGTTGCTAGTTTATGTAGTTCCTAACATTTAAAAAAAAATTAAAAATAAGTACCATTTGTTCATAAGAAAAGAGTAATTGGTAAAAAGTAGATAAAATGATGAACAGTTTTCAAAATATGAATCAGCTCTCTCTTAAGGTTTTATACTGTTTTGCAAAAAGAAGCTGGTGAAGTTTGCACTGCAAAACGACCTGGATAAACCAGGGATCTGAACAGGTAAGGCCTGAGCACTGTCACCACTGTACTTTCACTCCCTCACCAAGAGGTGTTGCCGCATATACTGGTTGGATAACTAACTGCTTCCGTGTTGGGGTAACTTCCCGGTAAGGAGTGCTTCCTTTTTGGACCCAGCCTGCTTTACTGTAATCTTACCAGGGCTGCGGAAGAAAAGTAAAGTCTAAAATGTGAACCCAGAAGCAAAGTTCCGTCAGACTACAACTTTAGTCTGTGAGTAAATGGGCTTACATATGAGTAGACGATGCCATGCAAATTACATTGAATATTGTGGTTTTGTGAGCAGGGATTGGTTGGTATCTTGGGGGTCACCTGTGCCATATGTCTGATTATCCATTTCACATGAGATGTATAGTATTGTGATTCAGATTGTACTTTAAGTTTTGTGGGTAATAATTCCTCACATTGTGTTTTTTAAAGATTGTGGTGAAATAAGCATAGCATAAATTTTATCGTTCAAACCATTTTAAAGTGTACAATTCTGTGGCATTAAGTAAATTCACGTTGTTGCACAAGCAGCACCACCATCCACCTCCAGAAGTTTTTCATCGTCCCCTACTGAAAGTCGGTACCCATAAAAACACAGCTCTCCCTTACCCCCTCTCCTCAGCACAGGTATCCTCTATTCTACTTTCTGTCACTATGAATTTGGCTACAATAGCTGTCTCATCTAACTGGAATCATACAACATTTGTCCTTTTGTGACTGCCTTATTTCTCTTAGCATAATGTCTTCAAGGTCCATCCATGTTGTAGTGTGTAAGAAGTGCCTTCCTTTTTAAGTGCCTTCCTGTGTGTGTGTGTGTGTGTGTGTGTGTGTGTGTATAGTTTTTAAAAATCCATATATATGAATAGACACTGGGTTGCTTCCATCTTTTGCCTTTGCAGACATTGTTTCTGTGAACATTGGTGAACAAATATCTGTCTGAGTTCCTGCTTTCGTTGGGGCATAAACCCAGAAGTGGAACTGCTGGATCATATGGTAATTCTATTTTTAATTTTTTGCAGAATCTCCATAGTGGCTGCACGATTTTACATTCCCACAAGCAGGGCATAAGGGCTCCAGTTTCTCCATATCCTCATCAATGCTTTTTATTTTCTGCTTTTTTGGTTTTTTATAATTTTTTAATAATAGACATCCTGCAGGGTGTGAGATAGTATCTTGCTGTTGTTTTGACTTGCATTTCCTAATGCTTAGTCATGCTGCGTACCTTTTCATGTGCTTATTGGCAGTGTGTGTATTTCCTTCAAGTCCTTAATCCATTTTAAAATCAGATTTCTTTGCTGTTGAGTTGTAGAAAACTCCCTATATATTCTGGATATCAATCCTTATCAGATACGATATCACGTGGTGCTTTAAGGGGTAATTAAGTCTGCACCATGGCTGAGTAGCGTAGACTCAGGGGAGGAACACAAGCTTTGTGTAAGTGAAAGAAACATACTGATAAGCAGGTGTCGTTGGGGGAAGGAATAACTAGAGGCTAGAAATCCCCCACAAACGCCAAAGTAAAGGGCTTTGATCTTTCACTCTTAGCGCAGAGCTCTCCTCCTTCTGTATCTCCCCTAGAGTGCGGGTGTGAAGGTACCTCAAGTCTTGCCCTATTTTTCTCAGATCCTAACAACCATCTAAAGACCCACTCCAGACAGATCAGTGATTCGTTTTAGACCAGCGTTTCTCAAACTTCCCTCACTTAACAAATTTTGCCATATTCACAGAATATCTAATTTTTCTTTACTGTCATATTCACATAATATATAACATTTTTTCCTAACACTTTTCTTTAAATCAACTCAGTTTTTAAACTTAAATTGATCTCAAAAGGAAACTTTAAAAATCAGTATTGTAAATGGAAAACCAGAATCAGGTGCCCTTCTGGCCACAGCAGATTACAAACATCAGTTACTCCCTTGTCATCCTGGACTTGCCCTGATGGCGCATGGGCCCTAGAGAAGCACGCGCTCTGCCTACAGGGAGCCCCTTCACATCTGCTGGCACCCTGGGGGGCTATTTATTGAACAGAGGGGGCTGTACACAGATTCGTGCCCAGGGAGTAGAAATGGGCTGATGGTGGGATAGTAGCATCTCAAGTAACTTTCTATGCGTACATTTCGGAAAACACTGCTCTAGTCTAGAAAAGAGTTCTCAAGATTTTAGTCTTGAGGGAGAAGCCACAGATTCCCCCATGGAATCTCTTCTGTTTAAGTGAGGAACACAGAAAGGGGGATGGAGGCCCAAGTGACATGACTGTCTCTTGTCTGAAAGTAATTCTTTTTAATTAATTAATTTTTATTTATCTATTTAATTTTTGGCTGTGTTGGGTCTTTGTTGCTGCACGTGGGCTTTCTCTAGTTGTGGCGAGCAGGGGCTACTCTTCGTTGCAGTGTGCAGGCTTCTCATTGTGGTGGCTTCTCTTGCTGTGGAGCACGAGCTCTAGGCATGCGGGTTTCAGTAGTTGTGGCATGTGGGCTCAGTAGTTGTGGCTCGTGGGCTTAGTTGCTCTGTGGCATGTGGGATCTTCCCAGACCAGGGCTTGAACCTGTGTCCCCTGCATTGGCAGGCGGGTTCTTAACCACTGTGCCACCAGGGAAGTCCCTGAAAGTAATTCTTTAATTTGGTAGTTCTCAAACTTTGTGGTCTCGGGACTCCTTTACATCCTTAAAAATTATTGAGGACTCCAAAGAACTTCTGTTTATGTGGGTTTTATCTACTGATATTTACCAGGTTAGAAATTAAAACTAAGAACATTCTAAAATGTTTATTAATTCATTTAAAATAATAAACTACATGTTAACATAAATATTTTTAGGAAAATAACTGTATTTTTCAAAACACAGAGTGGCTTTGTCTACATCTCATTAATATCTGCCTTTGTGGAACTCAGCTGTATTCTCACATCTGCTCTGCACTCAGTCTTTTGCAATAACACTTGTCATGTAGCCTCAGGAAAACTGTACTGTACACTCAGAAAAGAGAGTGAAAAAGTCAAATAATGCTTTATTAGTATGAAAAGTTTTGACTTCAGAGATCTTTTGAAAGGGTCTTGACTACTCCCAGCTCACACTTGAAAATTCTGCTTTAATTCATTTAGAGGTGGCATGGTGTAGTGGATGACAGGGTATTTTCTAGGGCCCAAATGCCACAGTCCTCCTGCTTTTATTATCTCTGTGACTTTAGCCAACTATTTGCCCTAGATTTCTTTCTTTCTTTTTTTAAAATAAATTTATTTATTTTATTTATTTTTGGTTGCATTGGGTCTTCATTGCTGCACATGGGCTTTCTCTAGTTGCAGTGAACGGGGGCTACTCTTCGTTGCAGTGTGGCTTCTGTTGTTGTGGAGCACGGGCTCTAGGCATGCGTGCTTCAGTAGTTGTGGCTCACAGGCTCAGTAGTTGTGGCTCACGGGCTCTAGAGCGCAGGCTCAGTAGTTGTGGCGCACGGACTTAGTTGCTCCGTGGCATGTGGGATCTCCCTGGACCAGGGCTCGAACTCGTGTCCCCTGCATTGGCAGGCGGATTCTTAACCACTGTGCCACCAGGGAAGTCCCTGTACTTTAATTAATTTTTAATATTTAGAGATGTAATACACTAAGAATTCATTTTGGAGCATGATACCAAGAGAGGAGCTAATTTTCTTTCTTTCAGAATGGGTAACTAATCATCTCAACATTTCTTGAATAGTCCATCACTTTACAACTGACTTCCAATTTCTCCTTTATAATACAGTGATTTGTTATAACCACATGGATCTATTTTTGGCCATTTCATTCCGTTTGTATTTGTCTCTTCCAGTATCCATAATATGCAATCTAAATTACTTTTGCTTTATAGTCAATTTTAATGTATGGTATGAAAAGCTCCCCCTCGTCATTCTCCTTTCTCCTAATTTTGAATTTTTAATGAGTTCATTTCTCAAGATAAATTTTGGTATGAATTTGCCAAAACAACATTCACTTCCCCCAAGTTGTGATTGTGATTGGAACTGCATTACATCTATGCATTTATTTGGAAGCACTGTCCACCTATGCAATATTAAGTTATCCCACCTAGGAAATTAAATGGCTTTCAATTTACTCAGATTGTTTTACATCCTTCTGTAAATCCTTAAGATGTTCTCAATATAGGTCTTGGTACTTCCTTTAAACTTATTCTTAGGTACTAAATAAACAGGATATTCTATGAGGATCTGACTGTGATTACCAACCTCAATCAGGATAATAACCTCTAAGACAGATGTAAGCCTATGATTGTGAATCTTCTTCTGTACAATATTTTTATCTTGCCTCATCTTAACAAACAGAAGGTACTCAAAGTTTACATGCATGAAGAATTGAAGATATTTTGTATTGGTTAACATAGATGATAAACTTATCTGATCCATTAAATTTGTCTCCCTATGCAAGACAAAGTATTTGAGTCAAAAGTAGACTCTATTCCTCTTCCTGGACCTTGGAAGGAGACAGGCCAGTAAGAAATAAATTCCCTGATTCTAATATATTGAACCTCAGTCATGTGCATCAGAATCACCTGGAGGCTTATTAGAACAGAATCTGCCTTCTGACAAGTTCCCAGTGGTGCTGATGCTTTGGCCCAATGATTGCGCTTTGAGAACCGCTGTTCTAATGCAGTAACCTTGGGAGAGAAGTCCAGTAGCTAGGCTAAGATGGATATAACACGTGATGGTACACAGCCCAAGTCGGATCTCTGATCACAGTAAGAATTTGTATGTTTGGCATTATATTCCTTTAAAGCTACGATTTTTTCCTCTGCGTTTAAGTTTTATTCATATCTCATGTATTTTCATATAAACTGTTCTAGTTTTTCCATTTGTATAAGATTTGTAATCGCAGCTATGATTTAATAATTGTGTAGTAGATTGTTTGGAAAGTTAGTAAGTTTTTTTTTTTTTTTTTTTTTTTTGCGGTACGCGGGCCTCTCACTGTTGTGGCCTCTCCCGTTGCGGAGCACAGGCTCCGGACGCGCAGGCTCAGCGGCCATGGCTCACGGGCCCAGCCGCTCCACGGCACGTGGGATCCTCCCGGACCGGGGCACGAACCCGTGTCCCCTGCATCGGCAGGTGGACTCTCAACCACTGCGCCACCAGGGAAGCCCAGTTAAGTTTTTTTAAAACTTTGTTTGTTCATTTATTCATCGAATGTTTATTGAGCATCAACTATGAGCTATATGCTTGGGACACATCAGTGAGCAACAGAGACAAAGACTCCGGAGGTTACATTAGTGGGCAGGAGGTAGGCAATAAACAATAAACATAGTAAGTAAATTATACAGCATGCTAGGGCATGGTAGACGCTACAGGTGAAAAAAACAGAGGAGAGCAAGGTGAATCATAAGGGCAGGAAGGGGGCTGCAATTTCAAATATGTTGATCAAATTAGGCCTCTTTGAGAAGGCAAAATTAGAGCAAGAACTTAAAGGAGGCAAAGGAGTTACCCAAGTGCACATACCGCAGAAGGATGCAAGCAGCTTGTGCAAAAGCCCTTACGCAGCAGGACTCTAGAGTACTTGAAGACTAAGGAGGCCACTGGAGCAGGTAAGGGCAGAGAACTGGGGATGAGGTCGGAGAGGCAAGAGGGGCCAGTTTACGTAGGGCCTTCGGAGGCCATTGTTTCGACTTTAGGCTTCAGTATTCATGAAATGAGGAACTATGGCAGAATCCTGAGCAGATGAGTGACACAATAAGATTTATATTTTTAAGGCATCACTGGCTGTTACATGGTGCACAAACTATGCGGAGCAAGGGTAGAAACAGAGAGACCATGGAGTAGGCAGCTGAGCAGTGACCCAGCGAGGGACGACAGCAGCCTGGATCAGGGTGGTGGCAGTGGAGGAACAGAGAAGGAATTAGACTCTGGTTCTAGCCCAAAGGCAAAGCCAACAGAATTTCCTGATGGAATGGATGTGTGGTGTAAAACAGGGAAATCAAGAATGACTCTCAAGTTTTTAGCCTCAAAAACATGAAGGATAG